TCACTCCCAACCAAAATCTACTGTAAACACCATTAGCATTGTATGATAATCAAGTCACTCGATTTCCCATTTTGATTGTAAATTTGAGATCCATTAGTACATAAATGCATCTCCTAGAATATGGCATGTCGTCAACTGTAGTTCTCTTTAGTTCACCAAAACCAATACAAGGAGCAATTGTTCAAATCAGCGTGTATACAAAAAGGAGAACTCTCGGCACTCAAAGATTGTGTATCTCTTGCCTTGCAGATGCTAAAGGCACTCTAACCAAACAAACAAGCAATAATTTCATCATGGGTCGCCCAAAAAGTCGAATCGATTCGGAAGATCCAAAACAAAGTGATGCGCCTCTCATCACTACCATGAAACAAACAAATACACAAAATGATCTCGTTTGCCTAGCTACTGCAGAGTAAACAGAGAGATGTAATTGAGTGTCTGTATTATTTGCCGCAAGCACACAGACCTTCAGCGAACAGGGGATCAGACTTTAGATCCAGTGGGCAGCGAAGGCAACAGATGACCGAAGTGAAAGTTGGTCACGAGGCCGAAGCTGGAGACCTGGGACCGGCCGGCCCCTCGACGGACAGGACGAATCAGCCAGAACCCTATCAAGAACCCTAGCGCCAGGGACAGGGAGAGAAGAGGGCAAGAAGAGGGCTTACAGGTGAGAAGGTGGCGGAGATCGTAGATGTTCGATGGGTAGCGGTCGCCGTAGCCTCGTGCCGCGCCGTCGCCTCCCCTCGGTGGTGCCGCGCCATCGCCTCTCATCGCGTCGAACAGGTTTCGTTCCGGACCTATGAGGGTCCGGTTTCGTTCCGGGTGGAGGAGGGGGCAAAATGGCCCGGATTGACTGAGTTTTATTCCGGGCCGAATCTAGCCGAACGACTATTCTTGGTCCGGCCTGGATTGAAACCGGGCCTATTCGATCCGGGTGGAACAGGCCAGGTTCCGGGCCAATCCGGCCTAACCGAACGAGGCCTAAGTGTCTTTCTAGCTCTTAGTTCTTTGCAATCTAGTTTTTACTCTTTAGGGTAATTAAAATTTGTTGATGCTATAGGTGAAGGGTCTATATACCCGTGTTTCAGAAATGACCTCTTTTTCACAAAGTCCGCTTGCATTCTATAAATCACGACACGGGTTAGTTACAACAAAATTAAAAGATTACATTCATATCATATCGAGAGGGCAAGGACTTAAAGGCACCATATGTGAATTGGATTCATTTCCATTCGTCCGAGGTGGAAGCATGCCTGGATATCCTTAAACTCAACGGCAATTTGCCCATCTGGGGCTCCAAATGTGCCGGCAGGGATCCATGCTTGTAAGATTTCTAGTTCTGTTATCTGAGCACGCAAGTACCAATCGTGGAACTTTCTCATTCCACGTGGCAAGCACTGTATGACTTAGTTTGGTAGGAAGTTCTTGCCTTTTTCATATTTATCCGGGCAATCATTTGACCATTTGAGGTTATCAACAGCTAGATACTTGTTAAACCCTTTGTGCAGTTTGCTAGTGGTGCCCTCCTCAGAAGCTGGTGCTCTGAATTTTTTTACTTGGTTCTTAGGCTTGAACTGGTCATGGGCCATCCACTTGTGCACCGACGAGATGTCATTAATGTCCACATACGATGGCCTTATCTTGATTGGGATTTTGTTTCAAGCTTCCCATTCGGACACGTCCTTGTCAACTTGTGCATCACCTGCTCCAGGGGCCACTTGTTCTTCATGTATCGGCTGTTCATGAGGCAACTGCTGTTCATGAGACACTTGTTGTTCATGTATCGGCTACGCTTGTTGAGAAGGATGTTGCATCTCATCATGCCTTTGCTCGGTACGAGCTTGAGAAGGATGTGGCATGTCATCATGCCCATGCTCGATACGAGGTGGAGAAGGATGTGGCATGTCATCATGCCCTTGCTCGGTACGAGGTGGAGAAGTCTCTAGCGTGTGGTGGTCATGGTCATGGGCCGGTGAGTATACATCCCCGTCCTCAACAGGTTGCTCCAGAGGATGAACTTCAGTCGGAGTTGGCGAAGACTCGGTCAATACAATGTCCTGTCTGTGCCAGAGGATGAACTGGTTCATGACGTCTCCGAGTAACATGAGCCCCTCGGGAGTAGGGTGTTCTATCTTCCAAGTCATGAACTCAGGCTTCACGGTATGCACCTCGACCCGAGTGTAGTCCTGCGGGATGTCCCTATTGTGCCACGTGCCGCCCGGAGGATGTGCCACGCCCGTTGCCACCTCAATGATCACGTTTTGCCTGCCCATCGGAACCACCAATTTGTAACTGGTTGGCGCCCGTATGCGATCGACGGGGGTTCCGGTTGCATTGGAACCTTGACTGTTGGGAACATCCGGAGGGCTGCCAACTATCACCAGTTCTCCGAGCGGCCCCATTGGTGTCTGTGGCTCCATTGTAGACAGTCCTTTCTCCACCAACATCTTTTCAACTAGAGCCTTCACTTGGCACTCAAGATTAGACTCTCGATCTCTGCCATGTTTCTTGTACATGTGCCTCTCCTCTACGAATCCATGCTTTTAGGACATCCTCTTCCCTAGCCCCCTGGTGCGTCCTGTGTGCTCGGGGTTTCCCAAGGCAACGGTAAGCTCATCCCTCTCTCTGGAAGGGTTGAATGCGCCCTTCTCCTTGTCTTCAGCAAGTTTCAGTATCTTTGATACTACCTCTCCGGTCTCCGGCTTAGCAAACTTGAGGCTACTACCGGATGAATCGACACTCCTCGCGTATATCCACTATTTAAGGCGTGGCTTCAACTTCGGCACTTCCGTATTCCCGGTAGCTTCGGCCTCTGCGTCCATCTTCCTAAAGACCTCTTGCTTGCCAGCGTAGCCACCGGGGCCTAGACGAGGGTAGTGTTGGTTCTTCTTTGCCTGCTCGCTGTTACGGGCACTGAGGGCCAATGATGCCTCTGAAGTCTTCTCAGCCACGAGCTCCTCCCATTGACTAGGAGTTATGTTGCCATACTCGTGGAAAGGAGTTAACTTCTGTTGGATAAAGCTCTTGTTCAGATCCGACCGCCAACGTCGGAAGCTCTGCCCCATTATCTTAAAAGCATTTTGTTGTACCAACTCGTGCGTTCCCTCCGAAAACCTGAAGTTCTGCTTCAGCTTCTCCCATAGGTCTACCTTTTGGCTCATAGGTACAAGATTCTAGCCACGGATAGCTGGGTTCAACTTATCTCTAACTACAAACCCGATGTGATTACGGAATTTCGCCATGTATGTATATGGCTCAAGGATCTGCCCGTCTGGCCCGACCTCTGTTATCACATAGCATGCCTTGTCGTGATATTGGTTTGGCTTTCTAATCCCCCCTCGTTTCCTCTTTGGTTGGGCAGTCTCAGTCGTGGTTGTGTCCTGAGGTTGTGGAGCGGAGGCCTCATTGTGAGTATCTGTGGCTCCTTCCTCTGATCTCCTTTGCCCCGCTACGTATTATCCGGCAAGACGAGCCGGAGGCCGACGTCGTCTTTTTAGAGGTTGAGTAGGGACGACCTGTGTATACAGCAGGTCAAAAGTGTTAGCAGAGGTAACATATAGCCATAGCATTAGCTAAATTTACAAGCTACTAAGGCTTTATCCGTACCTCGTCGTTCGGATCAAAATCCTTGTCCAACTCGTCCTCCGTTGGCCTCCGTCTGGGTTCTCATGCGAAAGGATCCTCGGGACTTACATATCCCCCTGATGAGGTGTCGTCATCCTCATCATCATCCTCATCATCATCCCCTTCTTTGCCTTGGGCATCCTCTCCGCCTTCTCTTCCTTGGGCTCCCCCACTGGATCCTCATCATCGACAAGGTCCTCCTGAGTAAGCATCACTTCTAAACCCTTTTCTAACTCGTTATCGAACTGCTCCTGAGTAAGCTGGTCATCTAGTTCTTGCTCTCCATGGGATGGCTGCTCATCATTCACGGGGCATCGGGATGCACTCTTTGATGTTCGCGACATTTTCGTGCCTTGTTCTAAGAGATGCAAGAAAAAAAGTAGTAGAAGTAGTAGAAGTAGTAGTACTAGTGATAGAAGTAGTAGTACTAGTAGTACAAGTAGTAGTAGTAGTACTTATAGTAGTACTAGTAGTAGTAGTAGTACTTGTAGTAGTAGCAGTAGTAGTATAAGTAGTAGTACTAGTAGTGGAAAATACATATTGGCATTCACCAGGTCTGGATCTCGCTACTGAAGAAAACAAACTCGCTACTGAAGAAAATAAACAAGTGCAGTGCTGCTAGTGAAAGCATATATCAGACTTGATCAGTAAATCATAGTAGTACTGTACCTCGGTTCTGGTTCAGGCAAAGCATACACAGGTTGTGCAGTGCGGTTGGAGTCTTGGAGAGGGCATATGGCCATTCTCTGGACCAGGAGCCTCAATTCAGGCGAGGCAGCAAGGTAACCTTATAAGCTGTCCACGACCCAGGGAGATGCAAGAGGAAAAGGAGGAGGCTGTATCTGCACTGATGGCCTTCATGGTAGGATTGGTCGATTTGGGGTCACTCACCAGTCACCAGTCAGTAGCCCGCACTCAACTGAAGTGCACCTAGAACGAGTCTCCAGTCAGTAGCTGGAGAAGACCTTAAAATGCATAATTATCGCATGACACCAGTCTGTCAACAAAAGGCTTGTCATCTCTCAGAGAAAGGACTGCGCTATATGAAGTTTTAGGGTGAGTAACTCAAACTGTTACATCTGAGTGGTGGTTGAGGAAGAAGAGGTTGGTCAGGCAGTCAGGCTACTTAATTCCTAGGCTGATGTTGCAGTTAGGATTTGCTGCTGTAGTGGATAACCAGAAAAGAGCTAGCATCCGGAAGATTGAGTCCTCAGTCTTCTAGTTTAGTATGTCCAATCCATTATTTCCAGTTATTAAGGGAGGAAGATGTTTGTGAAATTAACTGTGAAAATGGATGAAAGCATGGAGCTGATTTCCAGGGCTACAAGTAAATCCTTACAGAAAATCTAATGCACCCTGACAATTCAAATTGCACAATGAGGGTAAAAGATGACCAGTAGAATATGGAAGATAATTTTGATTTGATTCAAATAAAAAGTTTCAGCCCAGAGGGCATAAAATTTTTTCCTGCAAGATCACAAAAGCAAAATTGAAGCTGAATGAATGCATGATCACAAAAGTTTGAGCCCAGAGGGCATAAATTTTTTTCCTACAAGATCACAAAAGCAAAAAAAATTTCATGAAAGTTTCAGCACAGGTAAACATCTGCTGAATGAATGCATGATAAAGGCTCAATTCAAGCTGGAGTGTAGCACACGATCGAACAAAAGCAAAATTTCCAGGCGGAGATTCAGCGCTGTGGGTGTGGTGCGGACTGCAGTGGCAGGCCAGCGGTCATTAGCGCCAGCCAAGAAGAGGATAGACACAGACAGACAGGCCGGGAGCAAAGGCGATGAGATTGCAATGCTGGAGAAGATGCTCTCGGGGGTCGAACAGTCAGTAGGATTTTGCCATAATGATCTGCAGTATGGGAATATTATGATATATGAAGAGACCAGACAAGTCACCTTGATTGTAAGTTTTATAAAAGATATAAGCTATTCTCATATTATACTTAAACCTGTGCTGGCGCCTATTTGCATAATTCTAGGTAAAATATGCAGAATTATGAATTTCCTGTATGTTATTATGAAATTTTAGGAATGGGGACAGATTAGTAAAACAAAAAAAAAATCTAGAAATGCAAACAATCTGGTTTGCTGAGAAATGCTAGCAATAAGGGCAACTTGATAGACCAGTGAGGAGTTCTTGTTCTACCACACATTAGACCATGTTATCCCTGTAACTGAATGCTATTTTGTTGATCTCTTATGTCCTGCAGGACTATGAATATGCGAGTTTTAACCCTATTGCATTTGACATTGCTAATCACTTTTGTGAGATGGCTGCTGATTACCATACAGCGACACCACATATGTTGGATTTTTCAAAATATCCTGGTTAGTTTTACTTGTGACCAATTGACCATGTGAGTTGATAAATATGTTGCTATTTAACTTACGTTTGCTGCTTAATTTTATTGCTCTGCACTATTTCAGACATTGAGGAGTGTTAGCTAATCTACTGTCACCTTGTGTGAACACAACAGAGAAAAGCGACGTCGACTTAGCCGCCTGCTGTGTGTGAACACAGCAAGGGAAGGCGGCGCCGACTTTGCCCCCTGCTGTGATACAGTAGGCGCTGCAGGTGCAGGCGCCGCACGGCTCACCTGCAGCACTGTAGGAACAGGCAGTGGCCGGCGCAGAGTCAGCCCTGTCAGGTTATCTAGTTACTATGTCAGCATGGACGCTGCATATGGACTAGATAGTTAGAGTTGTATAAATAGACATGTATGGCAACTCAGTAAAGAGAGCTCATATTTGCCATCACACAGACAGGACCTCGGCCAACGCTGTTGTCTTGTATTGTGCGTGCTTGCTCTGTTCTCCCTTCTTCTTCTAAGCTCGTCCATAGTGTGTGGGTACGGACAACGCCGGTACGTGGTCTGCACGGCTAGTGGGTGCTCGGCAACACTAGCGCGTGCTCGGCGAGACCATCAAGTGCTCCACTCGCCTGAGCCTGTGCTCGACAAGATCGGCTGGAGTGGTTCACTGTCGTGAGCCGGTGATCCTCTGAGACCAACGGAGTGGTCTAGAGGCCATCTCGGTGGTCAGAAGGCTAACTATGGGCCAACAAGTGGTATCAGAGCCGTACAAGCGCCGTCGTCATTCTAACCAATAGCGAAGACAGGCGGTTCGGAGTTGGACGACGACAGTGGCACTGTCATGGCTGCCCAGCCACTACCGGATGTAGTTGTTCGCACGGTGTGGGAGGTCAGCGGCACCGCTTGGCCGACGCTGACTCGCACTAACTATGGAGAGTGGTCGGTGACCATGAAAGTCAAGCTCAGAGCCCGACGGCTCTGGAATGCTGTTGACAAGGGCACCGACGTGGAAGAAGACGACATGTCAGCGTTGGAGGCTATCCTCACTGCTGTACCGGCGGAGTACAGGGAACCATTGGGGACGAAAGGCTCAGCTAAAGAGGCGTGGGAGGCCATTGCGGCGATGCGCGTCGGTTCCGACCACGCAAAGAAGGCGACGGCCCAGTTTCTAAAGCAGGAGTATGCAAACCTCAAGTTCAAGGATGGTGAAACAGTGGAGGACTTTTCCCTCCGCCTGCAGACGCTCATCAGCAAGCTAAAGAGCCACGGCATCACCATCGACGAAGAGGAGACGGTCTCCAAGTTCCTCCACTCCGTGCCGGCAAAGTACATCTAGATCGCTCTCTCCATAGAGACGATGCTGGACTTGTCCACCCTCACCATTGAGGATGTGGCAGGCCGTCTGCGGGCGGTGGACGAGCGCTTGGGGCAGGCGACAGCAACGAAGGACAGCGGGAAACTCCTGCTAACGGAAGAGGAGTGGGCTGCTCGACAAAACTCCGGGAAGGCAGCCTCCTCCAGTCACGGTGGCAAGGGCAAGCACCGAGACGGGGCTTCTTCGGAGAAGAAGCACATCGACTCCAACGCCTATCGGTGTTGCGGGAAGATGGGTCATTGGGCACGGGAGTGCCCAAATCGCAAGAAGGAAAAGAAGGCTCAGGCTCACCTGGCGAAAGCCGATGATGAGGATGAGACCACTATCCTTATGGCGACGTTCTGTGCACTGCATGACGTCGAGGCCATGGAGAGGGTAGAGGCGACGACGGTGGAAGGACCTAGGAAGGCCCTGAAGATCGTCAACCTCGACGAACCACGCGCCCAAGTTCACCTCGGACGTGTGGGCGTCGACCAGGAGCAGCCGTGGTATCTGGACTCTGGTGCCAGTAACAACATGACGGGCTTCAAGGACTCCTTCTTCGAGCTCGACGGCGATGTTACCGGTACGGTGAAGTTTGGTGACGGCTCAAGGGTGGCTATCCAAGGGCGCGGCACCATCATCTTCAGATGCCAGAACGGGGAGCACCGCGCGCTAACGAATGTATACTATATCCCGCAGCTGCGTTCCAGCATCATTAGCATTGGCCAGCTGGATGAGCGCGGTAGCGAGGTTCTGATCAAGGACGGCATTCTGAGGATCAGAGACCGGGAGCAGCGACTTCTCGCCAAGGTGAAGAGGTCCCAGAACCGGTTGTACCTGCTCGACCTAAAGGTAGAGCAGCCGGTTTGCCTAGCGACAAGGCACTCTGAGGAACCGTGGATGTGGCATGCCCGGTTCGGACATCTCAGCTTCGACGCACTTGGTCGGCTGGGGAAGATGGTCCGAGGGCTACCCCACATCAAACACGGAGGCGAGCTGTGTGACAGCTGCCTGGCCGGGAAGCAGAGGAGGCTACCTTTCCTAAAGGCGGCCAAGTATCGCGCGAAGGAAGCTCTCGAGCTAGTTCACGGCGACCTCTGCGGGCCAATCACGCCTGCTACATGCGGTGGTCGGCGGTACTTCCTCCTACTCGTGGACGATTGCAGTCGCTACATGTGGTTGCAACTCCTTACGAGCAAGGATGAAGCGATGGTGGCGATCAAGAAGTTCAAGACGCGCGCGGAGGCCGAGAGCGGCAAGAAGCTCCGCACACTGAGGACTGATCGGGGTGGTGAATTCACTTTGGTGGAGTTTGCTACGTACTGCGCGAATCAGGGTGTGGGACAACATCACACCGCGCCGTACTCGCCACAACAGAATGGCGTGGTGGAGCGACGGAACCAGACAGTGGTCGGCATAGCCCGATCCATGATGAAGGCCAAAGGGATGCCAGCAAAATTCTGGGGAGAGGCGGTGACCACGATGGTGTTCATCCTTAACCGTGCTCCAACCAAGGCCCTAACGGGCAAGACGTCGTTCGAAGCTTGGTACGGGAGCAAGCCGAACGTGTCATTCCTCCGGACATTCGGTTGCATCGGCCACGTCAGGAAGACGAAGCCGAACCTCACCAAGCTGGAGGACAGGAGCACACCCATGGTGTTCCTAGGCTACGTAGAGGGTACCAAGGCGTACCGGCTCTATGACCCATGCGGAGACAAGGTGATTGTCTCGCGCGATGTTGTGTTCAACGAGGAGGCAGCTTGGGACTGGAACAGTCCGAGCACGGGGGAAGCAGGAGGCTTCCCCAACACCTTCGTCGTCGAGCACTTGGTCAACCACGGCGGTGGAGACGCTGCGGAACAGGTGCCACGCACTCCGGGAGGAGCGCCGAGCACTCCGACGGTAGAGTCGAGCACTTCTGGGGCAGTGCCGAGCACTTCAGGAGGGATGCCGAGCACTCCGAGAGGAGTGTCGAGCACTTTTGGAGGGATGCCGAGCACGCCAAGAGTGGAGCCATGAGGTTCTACAGTGGTGGCGACCACTTCAAGACGGGTGCCGAGCACTCCCGTGGCAGAGCCAAGACGTCTTATTGTGGTCCCAACCACTCCAAGACTGAGGCTAGGCACTCCTACAGTGTGGCCGAACACTACAGGAGTTTTGACGAGCAGTCCAGAAGCAGTGCCGAGCACTTCGGGTGCTATGCAGGGCACTCCGGCAGAAGAAGGAACTCTATCACTCCCGATCGAGTTCACCTCACCTCCAAGTGACATCACTGAGTTCGTGGACGCCTACCACGAAGGTGAGGAGTTGAGGTTCCGCAGGCTGCACGACATCGTCGGTGGCACAGATCCCTCAGGTCTGGTGGGTAGGCTGCTCAACGGCGCAGAGCTGCTACTCGTCAGCGCAGAGGAACCACCCACGTTTGCGCTAGCCGAGCGCGATGGAAACTGGCAACGGGCGATGCTGGAGGAGATGAAGGCGATCGAGAAAAACGAGACTTGGCAGCTCGTCGATCCACCTCCAGGATGCCGTCCGATCAGCCTGAAGTGGATGTACAAAGTCAAAAGGGACGAGCTCGGCGCCATTGTCAAGCACAAGGTGTGCCTCATCGCCCGAGGCTTTGTCCAGCGTGAGGGCATCGACTTCGAGAAGGTCTTTGCGTCAGTAGCGCGCATGGAGTCGGTCCGTTTGCTACTAGCTTTGGCGGCAGCAAAGGACTGGCGCATCCATCACTTGGACGTTAAATCGGCCTTCCTCAACGGCGAGCTGGCAGAAACAGTCTTCGTCAGGCAACCTCGAGGGTTCGCTGTCAAGGGAGAGGAGCACAGGGTGCTTCGACTGCGCAAAGCGCTCTACGGGCTGTGGCAAGCCCCTCGAGCATGGAACGCCAAGCTTGATGCCACGCTGGGCGAACTTGGGTTTCAAAGGTGCGCAACCGAGCACGCGCTCTACACGCGACGACAGGGGAAGGAAGAGCTCGTGGTCGGCGTGTATGTGGATGACTTAATCGTCACCGGCGCGCGCATGGAGGATATCAACAGCTTCAAGCGAGAGATGGCAGCTCGTTTCCGAATGAGCGATCCCGGCGCTCTCTCCTACTACCTCGGCATCGAGGTGAGACAGGGGAAGGAGGAACTCACGCTTGGGCAAAGCACGTATGCCTCCAAGCTGTTGGAGAGGAGCGGCATGGTGGAGTGCAAGCCATGCGTGACTCCGATGGAGGAGCGGCTGAAGCTGACGAAGGCCAGCACTGCGGCGAAGGTGGATGCAACACTCTATCGGAGCATCGTCGGCGGTCTGCGCTACCTAGTCCACATGAGGCCAGACATTGCATTTGCCGTGGGCTACGTCAGTCGCTTTATGGAGGATCCCAGAGATGATCACTGGGCTGCGGTGAAGCGGCTACTACGCTACGTCAAGGGAACGGTGAATCATGGAATCATCTTCCCAAAGACCGACGGGAGTAGGCTGCAGCTCACGGTATTCATCAATGCAGACATGACGGGGGACATCGACGGACGACGGAGCACCTCTGGCGTGCTCATCTTCCTCGGGTCAGCCCCAATTTCATGGCTGTCACTGAAACAGAAGATGGTGGCGCTATCTATGTGCGAGGCAGAGTACGTAGCGGCGGCCACAGCGGCATGCCAAGTTGTGTGGCTAC